TTGTTGTTTAAAAACCGTTTCTTCATTATCCGAAACTTTGCTATCAATTGGATTAAGCGGCAATGGTTTTGAAAACAGCAATAACGACGACGAAGCTCCATTTTGGAATGAGCGCACTGTTTTTTAGACGGCTGCTTAATTAGAGTTGAAAACCAACTTTCCTATAGATATGTCAATTTGAAAATTGTAAGCCTTCTTAAAAGTTGGTTTTTAATGTGATTTAGATTACCGCACGCGCGTCAGTATGTTGAGCATTGTTTTGTGGCTCAAATGGCTCTCTCGTATGAACTCAGTTGCTGTGGCTGTTTTTAATAAAAATTTCAGACATTTTCGGTGTATTTGTTGTTTTTTCTCTCTCTCCCTCTCCTGTGTCTTGAATAAATCAACAAAAAGCCCAGGCCTCGAACTCTATTCGGATATTAAGTTTGGTGAAGGCATTAATTTAGCATCAAATTTCCACATACGCACACACGTCGATTTTCGTGAAACGAAAATAATAGTAATCTCTTTTCGTGATGTATATACACGCGCGCACACGGCCTCGCCGTAATTAAAAAGGCGTATGGCCATTGAGTCAGTATACAAAGCGCACTCTAAGATACACACTGGTAACATAATACACAATTGAAATTTTTCGATTATCGTTATTCGGCCGAAAGAATCGAACAACAGATAGAGAAAAACCGAAATACATCATGCATTCTTATATACACCGTTGCTGTTGCTGTTGATTCATTTGAATTTTTCGGACAATGGAACAGCGAGTTCGGCGAAGAGAGCGCGCTGGCGCGTTCATCATGGAAATGATCTCAATCTAAATACATTTCTAATGTTTTTGTTTAATGGAAAAATGCCAACCGAAGTAATAATGTGGCAAGAATGCGATTGATACTAAATCTTAACACCGACGATGAACGCTTACCGCTTACGGTACACTGGTTCATACGTGTGTGCTGCTGATCGTGTCGAGAGGGCATAACCATGGCAAAAGGAAGTGTACCGATTTGAATTCCATGGATTTAGCGCTCACAAGATAGACACCAGATAACAACAGAAAAAGAAGAAGAAAAAACACACCGCATCAGAGAGAAAATCATTGCTGCATGTAATTTTTGTGCTGTTGTGCCTTTGTTATGGACTTTTAGTTAAGCAATCTTCGATGTCTTGTACTCTTTTTTTTTCAGACAAGTCGTTTCAATCTCTTGACGTGCGTTTTTTTTTCTCTTCTCACCGACTTTTTTCTATTCAATCGTACGTTTTTCTTGCTGTACTCATTTCCTTTGGCTTTTTTGGTTTGCTATTCGGTTATGCTTGATGGTGTTTCATTTTGGGATGTGTGTGTGTGTATTTTTTTCACTATTCACGTGTGTTCTATCGCTTTCGTCAGCCGTGAATTGTTCATATAGGGGATATGACGCTGTCTTTTTTCTCTTGACGCGAACGTGCGCTCATCTCATCACTTATTGAGATGAGTATACACATATCTATTATTTATGATTAGCTGATTTATTTCACATAATGATTAATTGAGAAATTAACAACAAAGAATGTTTTCAGGGAGTGCGCGCATGGAGTCAGATGTAAAGAGGTTGCCGCCACCACCGCCATTGCCACTGGGAATCAGCAATAACAGCAGCAGCAGTAGAATTGGCAGCAGCAGTGCAGAAAAAAGTAAAATTGAGCACCAAAAGCATAAGAAGTTGTACCATATGTACAGAAGCACCAGCAAAATGTACGGCACTTTTGAACTGATGCGGTTTTTTTCACTCATTTTTTTACTTACTTTTTTTTCTTTGTCTACCATTTTGACTGAACGCTGAGCCATATTACACGAAAAGGTGAAATCGTATGGAAACATGGCAATTGACAAGCATCAAACACAATGCCTGACACAAGCAAATCCGACACGGATGGAATGAAAAAAAAAACGATCGAGCCAAGCGACAAACTGAAAAAGCACGGCCAACAATTGAGTCAAATGTAAAGCGAAGCTATTGGAATAATGATAGCATAATTCAGCGATTTATTGGCTCTGAATGAGTGCACATTGTGAGTGGAAAGCGTGTAGAGCACTCTTTGCATACACACACCCGATCGAGGACAGATGTGTGACATATCGCATACAATTCCGAAGCAAGCAAAAAGCCAACGATAGCAGTAACAGCATGCTTATAATTTAATTTCGGCCATTCCGGAGTGCTGTGGTTTGATTCAGCAAATCGCCTCTGCACACATGTCACATACGTATGCACAATGCGCACGTTCGCCACTCCATCTCGATAGCACGAAGGCACGAACGAACTGGGCGAATGAAGCGAATTCTATGATTCAGCAAAGTTGAACTGTAATAACAACTGAAAACGCATATCGTCAGAATTGCATCAGGTTTTCCATTCATGCAATCGTTATCAATTTAACGACGGTGTTCACCTCTCTGGCGCGAGTTTGCATCGCGCAAAACGTGTTGTGCGTGCATCAGCGTGTGTGAGTGTGTGAGTGTGAGTACGATTGTACGAATGTGAACCAAACAGCCAGATGAGAGAGAAGCGACGATAGAGACACCATAAACATTGCTTAAGGAACTGATGAAAACGAGGTGAGGAGATAAACCGACGACGTCGACGACGACGATGAACGGAAAACACATAACATTAAAACCAAATGAAAGCAACAACAACGCGACATAACAAATTTATTTTAACACTTTAAGGCATAATTCAACGCGGCGAATGCGGCCAAGCAAAGAAAAAGCAAAAGTATGACAATATTGTGCAGAAATGAACGAAATGAGTGTGAGCGCGCGCGCATGGGAGCGCACATACGAACGTTCGCGAATGCCAAGAGAACGAGAGAGCATAGAATAAAAATGAATTAAATTGTGTATTACAAACAGAATAATAATGATGATGGAAAAAATATAAAATTGAAAAAGATCAAGAAAAACACAGTGCAGCGAAGAGCGGCCTGTGCAAGAAACTGGTTTTGTGGGCTGAATGGATGTAATCGATGTGTTGTTGTTGTTGTTGTTGCTGCTGCCGCCTTTCTTCACTGCTTAAAGACAGCACAACGTGTGGTTCTGTCCTTCATTTGCTCATTTTGATTTGATTATTATTAAGAGAAGCGCGATACGCGCACAGTAGCCCGATCATCAACAGCATTTTACACGATATCCTGCACATAATCGGTTATGTTCAACCATTTCAACGGTTTCAAACATGTTGAAACCTGAAGACGACAACAGCCAAGTAGCAGATGAAAAAGACATACACACGCTCTCGCGGTCTGCTTGACGTCAACCATTTCAAGTGAGAAAGAGAGACGTGTGTTAGAGGTGCGTTGTTGAAAACAAAGCGCTCTTAATTAAGTCAAAATGTATATATACATATATGTGCCTATGTGTGAGAATCGTTATGATTGTGTGTTGTTTATCTAACATCGAAATTTAAAAAAAAAAATGCTCGAAAACAAATTTCGTTGGAATTAGGTGTCCAAATGTGAGCCACTTTGGCCGTGTGTATATGTTGTGATATACGATAACGACATAATCAAGTTTATTCATGTTCGGCTTTAGTCACGCGGTGGTCGCCCACCTTAAATATACACAGCACTTGGAACACACAACTCACAATTTTATGATAATATTGTGAAATTTTGACGAAATATCACATCGAAAACCCACTGAATTGATATGATGAATCACACAAATACACAATCCACTTGTGACGAATCAAACGCTATTATCAACGATGACTCCGTGGATTATCCATTAGATTGATTCACTGCGAAAAAAAAACGTCAGTGATATTAACAATTGGCCGGTTTTGCGTGTTCATCTATTTTTACAATTAATGGACACATTTTTGAACGTGAACACAACTATTCAATTGCTTCGTAAACTTGTCGAAATCGATAATATTTGCACACTCCAGCAATGGTGCAGCAATTGTGCTGCGTTTGACGGAATTGAATTGGCGATCAACATGCTATAATACTTAAAGAAAACACTGCCATTGAAGCAAGTGAATGCTTGCCCTACACAGAGATAGAGCGAGAGATATCTACAGAAAAAGTGCAAAATCGACAAAAAAAAATCGTCGTCATTTTCAAGTTTGTATCTTCTTTTTTTTCCTGGTCGTTGTCGTTATCGCTGTATGTGCCCCCCTAAATAAGATGTAAGCAATTTCAGGTTAAGAACTCTTGAAATCGCACAAGCAACATTTTGAATGTTTGTCATTTTGTCATGTCACATCTCTCGCACGCATTCAGACTACATGATGCCATTAAATCTGTCTTTTGCTATCACACAATGCGATTCCATCGCTGTGTGTGTGTGCGTGTGAGCTGTGTGGCACTTTTGAGTGAATTGAAAATTGCTGCTGTGGAAAAAAGCGTAATACGTGTTTATTTGCCAGAGGATTGTGCTTGAACAACACACACTTGTGACATGATGGTGACCCGTTCTGCATAGTCGTCGAAGCAGAAGAAGAAAAAAAAAATGGGCAGATACGAAACGAATCATACGCGACGAATATATTCGATTCAATAGAAAATTGTGTTCACGCGTTCGCATCAATCTTGAAATTTATGGCAAATATTTAACGATCTAATCTGCCGTGAAGATCTTCTTAGCATTACCGCTGCTGCCCTTCGTATTCTATTACACCAGAACATTACTCTTTGACTGTGTGCTTTCTCTCTTTCTCACACACTCCCTTTGCCCTGAAAAATGCGTGTATAAAAAGGCACGGCGGCGCTTTCGCATTTTTTTGATCGAGATACGAATAAAAAAAAAATACAAAACCAAGTCCTCAAGCTGTAAGCAACACTCATGATAATCATAACAATAATGAACAATAAGGAGAGCTCTCGCTCTCGCTCTTCGAAGCGAACGCTTCGTTTGTTCGCTAATGCTAACGAATAAAACGAAATCTATATATATTTTATGAAGCAAAAGGAAAAAAAACCTTCGAAAGAAGGATAACAACAACGAGGCCACTTACCGTAATTGATAGAAAAGTGTAAATGCGTTCAAGTATATCCGAATGATGTTGTAGGTCGCCATCAATTTTGAAATTGTTGTTATCATCGTCGCCGACGCCGTGAGTTGTGCCGCCAGCAGCTGCTTCATTATCATTGTTGGTAACCGAATTGTTGGCTGAATGGTGTTGATGATGATGATGGTGTTCATTGCTGGTTGGGGACGATGAAATTTGTGCCTCATTTTTTCGGATGGTTTTTACAATGACGCCACTGTTGTTGCTGCTGCTGCTGCTATTGGTTGATGCGCTGACAACTATGCTGCTGCTATTGTTGTCCTCATTGGTATTGTTGTTGGTTTGTGCGCTGGTTGCGGTGCAGCCTGAATTGTGGCGACCACCGAACACTGATAACTGTACCAAGTCATTGGTGTCACTGACAACGGTCAAACACAGTCGACACACTTGGTAAAATTTGGTCGGTACCACTGGCAATGATGTCATCGTTGCATTCATTTACTGAATTTACTGAACTGATATATGTATGATACGGTGTTTACGGTTGGTTTTTTTTCTTTACTTTAAACTTCTTTTCTTTCTATTTTTGATTGATTTCTCTTTGTTTCTTTTTCTCTTTCCTTTTTTTCTTGAATTTATTCTTTTTACGTTTTATACACACAAACACACACGAAACAAACGGATTGGATGGGGGCGGAAGATTTATATTGATTCCGAAAAAAAAGCAGAAACGAAACTTTTTTTTTGGTTTTACGAGAGAAATAATAAAATGGAAACAACGCAACTTCAAACGGAAGAAAAAACAGAAGAAGGTTGTTTTTTTTTGTTTTTCTGTTGCAACGCGATCTGCTATACGATTTTCCTTATCATTCCTGCGAATTGGATGCGTTTCTGCGTGGTAGTGATGGTGTGGCAATGTTGATGCAGTAATTTTCGCGTTTTTTCAACACTTTTCGAGCCTCGATACGTTCGTGCATTAAATATTCTATGTGTATATTGTGCGCTCTTCATACACTGGAAATAGGCCACACTGGTTTATCGAACTGGTTCCTTTGATAGTACACTAAAACGGAGAAAGAAAAGAAAACAAACCAACATAAGACACACTTAGAATCTATAAACAGAAACACGGATGTTTCGACATTTTTCAATCTACTTTGGAAATTATATAATAATTTTTAGATATGATGATTGTGAGTGGATATTGCGAAATACACGAGAACACAAAGTGAAAAAAAACAGCGCTGCAAGGAGTCACGAACACTAAACACAATCCAATATCCATATGATATATTGCCCCCTTCAAATACAGATAACTCGAATATATTTCGCACGATTAAGTTTTGCACTTTTTGTTTTCTTCGCTCTGGCTTATGTGGTGCATAACAGTTGCAAAATCATCATCGACCCAAGAATACTGAGAAAAAACCACTCTCACCGTTTCCTCAAATGATGCCAAACAAACAATAACACACACGGGGACGAGCACAACAGAACCAAAATAAATATAAAACCGAAATGGCAACTGAAATAATGATACACAAAACGGAACAATTTTGGGTGCAGATGGCAAATAGAGTCAGTCACACAGACACAAACACACAACTGTTCGGATCGAAATGGCAAAATGTAAAGTGATAAAAATTGTGAAGAGAGCCGAGCACACCGAGCGAGCGAGCAAGAGAGACAGAGAGAGAGTATAACGGGAACAACACAACACAAAACGATAACACACAATTCGGTTTTGTGTCATGCACATTGTTGCACACATACAGTGAAGTGAGCGAGCGCGCGTGCAAATCGAACAAGAGAGTGAGGCGACACACACAAACCGAGAGAGAGAAAGAGAGCGTTGCAGTGCCGCCGAGCACGCTCTGGAATAACAAAATCAGCAGTATGGTAGTCATTGCAAAGAGAGCGACAACAAAATACGTGTATATTATATATATCGAGTTCATGTATAGATATCGAGAGCACACAGCAACCATGTGCTGTTGCTGCTGCTGCTGTTTTCGTTGCAAATTGAAAAATAGGCAAGCGGAGAATTCAATTCTACTGCAATATGATGCGCGGCTGTACCAATGGAAGGAAAACATGCACAAGCACAAGCACATGCACTCACACAGACTCTCACACACACACACACACACACACACACACATGAACTGGCTGTTGAACACAACCATGACGTTCTTTCACTCTCTGTCCGCTGTTGGCACGGATATTCACTTCTCCAAATTGGTTGGATTGCACCACATTTCCACTCACTATCACAGATACTCGCTCTCGCTTCTCGTCACTCCAGTTCTTGTTCTTCTCTCTCTCTCTCCTTCACTCGGTCACATCATGCCGTGTGCCGATTGCATCACACCGAAAATTGTATAGAGAACTTGGATTTCGGACAAAGAGTCGCAATGGTAACGCTCAATTGGATGCAAAGCGTAGGTAAATAACATCAGCGTATATCCAATGAACGAAGGAACGACGACAAAAAAAAATTGAAGCGAATAAAAAGAGCAAACATTCAATATGATAACTGTATACAAACACTTTGGGTATTGACACACACCGAATCTCCACTCGCTCTCTCTCTCTCTCTCTCTCTCTCTCTGTCCGTGCATACGGTTTTAATCAATGACACTCTCTTCGGCTATGTGTAATGTCACATACAAACACTTTTTTCTCTGTTGTTTACCTTTTTTGGTGGCATTTCCCTTTTTCCCAAAAGCGAATAGCCGAGAGAGGAAAGCAACAACAACAAAATTCGCTGCGAAAAAACTCATAAAACCCGCACCGAAACACACGGACTACAAACAGGAACACAAAAAAACCAGCCCAAAATGACAAAACCAGCCGAAAAAGGAACACAAATGAATGACGGCGAGCACATGAGGGAGCGAAAGAGATGCGAGAGACACGGCGCAGTTTAATTTAATATTCTCAAAAAGTGCGACTTGATTTCCAAACTGAATTATGCAAAACATGAAACGACGATAAAAAAAATCTCATTTCACAACGAGACCAACTACGTTGTGTGCGATCTGATAAATTCTATTTTTATATCCTTAACGCGATGGTTGGTACCCGTTTACAACTTCTGGTTACTCTTATTTTTTTTTCATTTCTTGTTCGTTCTCGCTTAGTCAACGTCGTCGACGTTGTCAGTGTGTTGTTCTTGTTTGTCGATTCAGTCTCTCAACATATACACATTTTTACATCTCGATTTCAGTCAAAGTAGCACATGGTAATCGTAATCTACGATTAAACGTGTAGTGAACTGAACACATTTACTCCGTGAAGAACTGAAAACTGTTTTGTCGGTGGATTCAGGCAAAAACACTCATACACGCATTTGCCTCGTTCGTAGTCCGTTTACAATGTTTTGCGGTTTTGTTACATGTTTTTTTTCGGTTGCTCAATGTGCAACGAGAGAAAATTATTTCCTTTTTGTTTAACTTTTCACTTGAATTACCGTCCTTCTTCTTCTTCTTCTTCTTCTTCTTTATTTTCTGGTTACGAGCAAAAATTTATTTAACAAAATGTATATATACGTACATATAGAAAAGAAAAAAAACGACGTAAGCAAATTAAATATTTATGTATCCGATGTGGAAAATGTAATTCAACGAACTCAACACACAGAACCAGAACGAAATATATTTTCGAATTTTTACGATAAAAGTGTATACAACAACAAACACGCACACCTCACTGCACCCTCCTCAGTACATAAACTAATCGTAAGCTGATTTGCACAGACCGAGGCTAGTTAACGAGAACCGAAACACACAGGAATAAAATGAAAACGGCATAAAACTTAGTACGCTCTATATATGTGTATGTGAGTATGTACGTGTGTTTGTGTGTGCGTGCTCTTTTCGTCAATCGTACCGTGTGCAATGCACACATAGTTCCTATTTTGCTCGTCAATGTATACAGGAATGCTGTTGGATTTCAGGAGATAACGAAAAAAATATTGAAATAGTGCCACCATCTAGCATACCAACATAAACAGTCAGCATTACTGCAATACGCCAGATTGTCTCTTTGTATTTTTTTTTCTCTTGCTTCTTTCGTCTTTTCTCTCTTGCTCTCTCGCTCTTCTTTTATCTTCCTTTCTCTATTTGTCTCTTTTCCGTTTTCTCCTTCTCTCTTTCTCAGTCGATTCTCTCTAACGGTATGAGATCCTTCCGTATTTTATGGCTTGCTTTGTTCCATTTTATTATCATTTTTATAGTTCATTACCGATTATTTTTGCGCGTCTTTTTACTCGCAACTCTTGCACTGTCATACAATTTTTCATGAGAATGTTTTATCGAGAAAAACTGCTTTACTTCTTTCCCTCTGTGGCAGAATCGGAATTTTAAATAACTCGAAATGGATATATTTTGATTTACAGCAGCAAAGCTAAACATTGTCAGTTTTATTAAATAAAAACGCCGAACAGATACGAGGCAATAGTTGGGAAATTTAGTTTTTGTATTGCGATACAGTTTGTGCTTGGGCGATGCGTGTAGTTGTGTATGCATGTGTCGGTGCACGTTTATCAGTCTATTTGGAACATCTGGTGCATTTTTACGTTGTTGTGAAAATGCTTGTACACACTGTTTTATGGGCTTCGTACTGAAAATGAGCGCGGTTCACAAAGAAAGAGCCAACAAGCAAGCGAGCGAATGCGCGCGCGGTCTCGGCTTTTTCGACGAACCAAAAGAGAACAAAAAGAGAAACATGCATCGCAATGCGTTAAACAAGTCATAAGTTGCCCAGAAGAACGGAGTCAGTGTGTACATTGTACACACAGAGTTCATGAGTTGAAATACGATAAAATTATGTGTCGGAATGGGTGAAACGAATAAATTGAGTACACATTTGCTTTTGCTCCTGCCATTATTATCAATGTAAACTGATATATTTTTACCCGAACCGAGAGAGCCAACTTTTGATCGTATTCCACTCGGTACACACAGACACAGCGAACATCATCGTCGTCATCGACATTGTCGGTTGCCTGATGCACAAACGCTCAAGATACAAGATATTAAATAAATATTGAATTATATGCACTTTTTTTTCTCTTCTCCTCATTTGGTTTTTTTTTTCCTGTGAATTTATGGTATGGAATACAAAAACGACAGGCACACACCAGTCAAGCATTTGACTATGTTATCGTGATAATTCAGGCAACCGTATGGCATGAACTACGGCTGAAACGTATAACGAGGAGCAGAAAAAAAACACACAGAGAATTTTGATGATGATGATGATAAAAAAAGGGAAAAATAACACGATGCAGAAGAAGAGCCAGAAAAAAAGGTAGCGCAGCGGATGTTGGCTTTTTATGTGTACGTATACTCTCTTGCTCTCTATTGCCATTTCGTTCTAGTTTAAACAGCTGAATGGCGGTCGGTGTGAGCGGGAGGAGATGATCAGTAGAGAAAAATGACTCGGTGCACACATTATGTTAATGCACTTCAATGATGCAGCAACTACGGCCGTTAATAATGTTAAATTTGTTTTTTTCTCCTCTCTTTTAGTTCTTTTTAAAATGTGTTCCAAGTGATTGATTTCCCATGCACGTATTATGTGTTGATTCTTAATTTTATATATTTTACGAATCAGCTAAACGAAAACGCGACTGACACTCAACAGTGGCGTGCATTCGATGGGCAAAAAGGGCTAGGCTTTAAGTTGTTAAATCGACATTTAAGCCAATTCAGTGGAAACAGAAAAACGTAATACTTTCTTCTCAAGAGCCCACTTTTTGATACACTTTTAAGCATTGGGCTGGAAAACAGTTGGCTGGCTCTTGCTTCGCATAAAGTGTAAACAGTGAATTAGCCGATAATCCACATACACACACATTTTTCGGAACTAAATCGATAATGGCTTCAGTTGGACGTTTTTATTGGATCATTTTGCACCATTCTTTATTTATTCACCATAACTTGAGTTTTTTTTTCAACTCATTCAACAGTGCTTTTTCAATGCAACATGCATCGCATTTTTAATGCACTCGACACTTGTGTGTTTTTGTGAGCCTGTGCATGTGTTTCGTGCCTGTGT